CCTTTAGGTACTTCATCTTCTAACACGTCCTCATATTTCTGTAAAAGAAGACTTAAACATACTACTAGGCAAAGACAAGTTGTTACTATTAGAGACAAAACATCTTTTCTTGTACATAAGTATAAAGATGATTTTTTGGTGAAAACATTGTCCTTCTAACCTCGCTAAATCTAGCCAAACAACTCTTTTTTTTTTCCTTTTTTTTTTTCAATTTCATTCTTCTTTTCACTATTTTTTCTCTCAATTTTTCATCCTCGAACTTCTTTTTTTTTTTTCCTTCAACTTTAAGCAAGCATGGTAGCACATAACAAAGAACTTCGTCTTTATATTTTCCTAAAATAAATGATATTAAAACTTGAGAAACTATCTTCATTGTTCCACTATCATTGAGTCATTGAAGCTTGTAAAGTTTAGGATGGTGTTGGGTTGAAATTTGCAACCTTTTTATCAACATAGTACTTACTACATTGGTGCAACTTCCACTATCAATGACAACTCACTGATTTTACACTCAGAGACACTCGTGTTTATTACACAAGGCTATTTGGGAAAGTCACTAAATTATGACCAAGGTAGGCTAATATATAGTTAAAGTAGCTATTCAAGACAATGAAGAGAGTAATTATGAAGTAACAATAAAATAAAACAAAGAAATGATCAAATAAATAAGGGAACAAAGATATTTTAGGTCGAACTGCACACGGAGAATAAATTCAAGAAGGAAAGATCATTAAGATTTTGACTAAATTAATCTTCGAGTTTAAATAATGAAAGAAAAATATCAAATATAACAATTCTAGATTTATATGGTTATAGAAAAAATGAGAATTGAAGCAAATGGTCTAATGATAAGGATTTATAAACGGAGAACAAATATGATGATTTCTTTTTTTGTTGTTTTTTTATAAAATCTACCTATTGGAAGAAAATGAGAACGAAGTGAGAAGATGATGAAAAATGGTGGAAATGGCAGCAAAAAAATAAATGGACAGATTTGAAAAGATCATCAATAGCATAAATGAAAGATAAAATCATCAATTCTAGGGTAGGCCGGAAAGATAAAATTAATTCTAGAATAGGCTACAAAGATGCCATCCTACCCTACTCTACCTTATTCTGCAACTCAACAATCCGAACTTTTGTTGAAACAAGAACCCTTTAATCAAATAAATTAATACCTGCTTATACAAAATTCGGATCAACTAAGAGACGAGACTAGAATTAGATTACCTCTTAATATCAAAAATCTAGAAGCAAGATTTGGAATTTTGTTTTAATTGAGTCACCCTACAATCGAACTTGATCCAGGCTTGATTGAATGACTTAAATGCAATCTACCGCAAGAATTGCTTCAAACTTAGAAATGACAAAGATGATGCTCGAATTTCTAAGGATAAAAGTCTCAATTTTAGATCTCAACTTCATTCCTCCGAAATCTGTCTTTTACATTGTAACGCCCGCTCATCGCCAACGCGATTAACAGGAGTTACTATCGACAATATTAAGAGACTCTGATACCCAATCATAAAATTAAAAATATTTCTGAAAACATCCAGTAAAGTATTTCTATAAAAGAAAAAAAACAGTACTTTACAAAAAACTTAAAACGACTAAGGTAAATTCTTGACAACGGAAACATAATTACAGAACAGACCCAGACATGGATTCCCAGTAGTCCCTAGCCCGCTGGTCTCGTCCTCGGCTGACCTGCAGCATCTACATCTGGAAAGAAAAGTTATAATAATTCTGATGAGTAATTAGATTACTCAGTAAGTAGCTAGTTTATCATTCACAGGTTCATAACTAATCTTTCCAGGTGTTTTTACGTTTTATTCATCACTGACTCCTAGTTCTCTTACTAGGGTCATCTGTTCGTTAATGAGGTATCTCAGCTACCTCCAGCTAGGTTACTGACTCTCCCTCGATATGCTTATCTAGAATTTTCGGACTCGTATGTAAGACTCGCTCTCGGTCAAATACGGCCCGTCTACTAATTGCTCTGGCGGCCTGTTTATCTCATATACTAACGGTCAGGAGTACTCATGCTCCCTGACTTAGCACACAGCGCGTTGGCCAGGAACTCCGCGGGAATTAGTAGACTATCATACTCAGTAAATAAGCCATAGCTCAACCACCAATAAGCATATCTAGAATCATAACCTTTCCATTAACATGCATAACAGACTCACAGTTACTGCATGCTTCCATACATATATCATGATCAACACGTAGAACATTCTGAAAATCATTTATATCACGCTTACATCACAGGCAAGCAGTCACAATATACGATAACACTAAATATCATCAAAGTTCATCATAACTTATTAAGCTCTTAATCAGGTAAACAACATACTCACATGTTGTAAAACAAGTTAAGAACGAGTTCAAAGGTCGATACGCTACTTACTTGGTTTCGAACCCCTTTTTTCTCCTTGAATGTACGTTTAATAGTACTTCAACACAATTCCTTCCTATTAGACCTATATTTTATCAATTTCAACATAA